GGGTTGGATTATCCATTCGACTGAGGAGTCCGACTCACTTAGTCGCTGATTCAATCTTTCTTTCGGAGACTGGGTTAAGGCCTAACTTGGGAACTTGATGTCACTCTTTTCAAGTAGTGAGTCTGACTCACTTACACACTGAGCCGTGGTTCGGCACCAGGCCAGATGCTCTATTCTACACTAGTTTCTTTTATGTGTAGGTACAACTGAATGAAGTGGGGGACAGAGGATATTACCGTCTTCAAGGAAGCAAATGACGAACCTGACGAGTCTGAGCCCGATGAGAAGAACATTTCTAGCCATCTTATTTGCAGATGACGACCATTGCAATAAAGGCTGAGGATCTCACCTCTTGCTTCATTTTGGGGGCGTCAGATGTACTCTTTTTCCCTTCATTAGGATTTTTTCCCATTGGGTTTTTTCCTAATAAAGGTTTTTAATGAGGCATCTCCCCAACATGGACAAGGGCGGGGATCTTCTAGTCTCGGAGAAGAGCAATTGACTTGGACTACTCCCTCTTAGCCGAGTCTACTACTCGACTAAGGGAATGGGGGATTCGTGATGGAGTAATGGGACTAGGCTCGAAGCCTAATCAGCACAAGCCCCGAACTTGGACCCGTGGATCCAAGTCCACAACCTGGAGCCTGTCTGCCAGCCTAGCGGGGAGCCTACCAGTCTGGCCGACCTCCCAGCCCAGAAGAGTAACGGTCAAACAATTAATGCACTATTAATTATGTATTTAATTCCGTATTAATGTTGTAATTAATTAGTCATTATTATCGGTATCGATTACGATTTGTATACGTCTATAAAAAGGTTGGTTGTAATTCAGATTATGGGAAGCGAATTCTACAGGCTATTTCTAGCAACTAAACACTTTTTGCTTCTTTCCTTATTCGCATTATTTTCCTGATTTCCTGCTTGAGTGTCGTACGTAGCTTTCCTAAAAGCCTACGAGCGTCCTATTTTGGACCAACAAAGAATTTTACGTGGTTCACACAATCGGGGTGATTGTGCTAGTCCATGGTGAACAAGAGAGAGCAGTGTATTAGTATCGGCGTCAGGGTTTGCATGTACAAAGAGTCGTTTTTAAATAGGTCTCAAAAAACCTAAACAAGAATAAGAGTCGCAGGCCCAAAATGAAACTCGTATTTCTATTTTTTCCCGCATACCCGGTCGGGTATCCTCCTATACCCGGTCGGGTATGTGTTCCAGAGAGATTTCTTCCACGCTACCCGGTCTGGTAGCTTAGGCGGGTATTCTTCCCAAGTCCGGGCTTCAGCATACCCGGTCGGGTAAATCACATATACCTGGCCGGGTATCCATTCTAGAGAGTGAATAGGTCAAAAGCTTCTGCATACCCGGTCAGGTAACCCAACATACCCGGTCAGGTACTGCTTCTGCATTCAAAACAAGGCTCCATCTTCAACAGTACAAGAAGACAAGTTTTCAACATTACAAATATTTTGATGCTTGCTTGTACATGGATCTCTTCAATCTCAACCAGAGTAGAAGTAGACTGATTTTCAACATCACAAATAATTTGACTCTCGCTAGTACCTTCGCTTTGTACTTTACTAACGGGTTTAAAGAAAGAAGCAAAGTGACTTTCTTTTTTCTCAAAGGAGGTTGTTGAGTAGCCATAATTTCCTCCATCAAATTCAAATAATTTTAAAAATCATTATAAACTATTGAGATAATATTAAATTAAAAACAAACTGACCTATTAAAGTAAATTATTCTGAAATCTCAATTCTGACATTCGTATATTCATATAACTAGTTAACAATTTACAAACTCACAAGTCACAATAAACACACTAACACATAATAAAAACACGCACAATATAAAAAATATTCCATCCGTCCCTGAAAATCAGTTTGATTTCCCACTGATATTATGAAAGTGGAATAAAGTTAAATGTATGAGTGTAGTTGTGTAAGAAAAAGAAGAAATGAATGGGAAACACAGATTGTACAAAAATGTTAGGTGGGAAGACTTTTGTTAATTGGAGCTCTAATGCTCTATCCACCGACTGTCTGACCACCTCCCTTCGCCAGCAACATTCCGCGGTCCACCCTCCAGCAAAAAGTCCGCCTTCGTTGTCCGCAGCCGTCGCACAGGCGGCACATCCGCGCGGCCCGCGCTGCCCAGTGCTCGCAGTCTCGCACCAGTCGCACAGTCCGCCACTCCGTTGTTCCGATCGTCCGTCTTTTGTTTTCATAGGGATTGGGATTTGGGCAGCTTAAGCGTACAAGGAGTCCAGGTGTGAAGGAACAAAGTATTACATTGGGCCTATTTTTCTTTACACTAGGCTAGTTCAATTTTTTTATGTACCCTCCCTATGTACTATTATTAACCTGAGTAATATTCTTCTCCATTTTCTTCTCTCCATTTACTCTCTCCTTTTCTTTTTCATTCTATCTCTCTGCTTAAAAAAATAATTAAACTCCATCTTTTCTTTCTCCATACCCCATCACTTCCACATCTCACTCTATCTCTCCTAACGGAGAATTCCAGTTACTGGAGAGGAGCTAAATTCGGCCGACCTACCCTAGGCCAGGGCACAGTAAGCCCCCTCCTACGCCCCTGTTTGTAGGAACTTCATTATTCCTTTGGTCCCAGCATAATTACAAGGAACTAGTGCTTCTATAGCAGGAATGGTGGCGGCTGATATAAGAGAAGTAGTTTCTTTTCCTTTTGAATTGACTTTTTCTCATATTAGTCGATCAGCGGATTGGGCGGATCATGTTTTGGTATAAGCTGCGTGAATAAGTCTTATTGTCAGTCTTGGTTATGTTATGCTCCTGATTTTGTTGTTTCTGCTGTAAACTCTGATATTATTAATAGTAATCGAATTCCTTTTATTCAAAAAAAAAATAAAGCTTATGTGCTCCGTAGAACTTGATCCATTTCAAGTAGAGAGAATTAGAACTCCTATGTTGGAGAAATGTTAGGGATACCTCATTTTGTGTACCTCATTCGCACACATGGTCTGTCTACGCAGACATAGTTGTCTATATACAGACAACTTTGTAGTTTAGAACAGAATTGTTTGTACACAGATAACTCTATTTGCGTAAACAAACAGTGTATGCTAATGATGTACACTAAATGGGGGAACACCTAGCATTTTTGTATGTTTTATAGGACTAAAAATCTAATAACATGACAAAATTACCTTTAATGAAATAAAATTAAAAGCTCTCCCAGACGTGGTTTTCCATATATGTTTTGTCACCCATCAACATTCCAGGTCCAAAAAGACTATGGTGTTGTCACCCATCAGCATGTCTCCGCTGCAGCCCTTCGGTGAGGCCGTTGCTGCCATCCTTCAATGATGTGCCGCCTTATGATGAGTCTTGCAAACCTCTGTCGAGAATGCAATCTTGATAAAAATAGTGACGTAATGATGACATTTTCGTATAAAAACATTGCATTTTTGTAATGCTCTACTTCAAAGATCTCTTGGAACATTCATTTGAAAAAAGAACACATTGTGGGTGAAATTGGTCCATTGTGTTTATTGAGAGGAGTTTCAATCTGGGATTGGACACCTCAGGCTAGGGTATCCCCATTGTTCATCAGGTTGATCAAGATTAAAAATGAGCTATGTAATGTGATGAGTGGACAAGCTGAAGTCATAACTCTCATTCTCTAACGGTATAACCAATGGAAGCTCAAATCTGAAATGGTGTGTGTGTTGAGAACCAGGAGCCACAATAAAAGCCTTGGATGAAGCAAACCTGGAAAATGATATTTCTCCAGAGTTCTCCATTATTCTTTGACTGGGTTATGGAATAGGCTACCAACATGTGACAACCTATTGTATATTGAAATGGATAGAAGATGTTGTTTTTGCAAAATCCAGATGTATATTAAAGGAGGTTTGGTAGAAGGTGGCTTAATCTTAAAAAAGTATACCTCTACAAAGTCTACAATACTGATCACAATTAAATGTGTGTAAAGCAATATGGAGGTACCCAGATAAAAAACAACACGTTATGGGTAGGAGTGGACTCGGGCCGGTTCGGGCCTGGGCCCGGCCGGGCCTCGGTTCAAGAAGGGGAGGCCCGGAACCGGCCCGGGTAAACCCCGGGTCCGGGCCGGGCCGGGCCGGGCCGGGCCTCGGGTATTTTTTTTTTTTTTTGGGGCTTTTCCTAGTTAACCCCCACCCCTCCCCCTCACCCCAAACCAACCCTAACCACCTCAAATGGCCCAAAATAATCAGCCCAACCCAAAAACTCAAAAAAAAATTCAAAAAAAAATTAAAATTGGCCCGGTCCGGGCCCGAACCGGCCGGGCCGGTTCACCTTTTGAAGGGCCCGAGCCCGAACCGAGAATCCACCGGGCCGGGTGGCCCGAACCGCCCAACGAACCGGTTCTCGGGCCGGTCCGGTTCCGGGCCGGTTGGCCCGGCCCGAGTCCACCCCTAGTTATGGGTGGCCCTTTGTTGTATGATATACTCGTATGGAAAGCTATAAATGAGACAAATTTCGCTCACAAATTGGTCATGGTTGATAGTAGAGGTGGACCTGATCCAGTCCCGGTTGCCCAAACTTGAGACCGGAACTGATCCAGAGTTGTACGGTACCCGGTTCCGATTCAGTTAAATTCCCACCCTGGAATTTAAGAAAAAAATAATTGCTCATTGGGACGGGAACCGGGACAGCCCAGTCCAATCCCCAAACTGGACAAGCCCAGGACAGGAAAACTGGACCCAGTTTGATGCCGCATAGTGGCAGGCCCAGTTCCGGTCCAGGACCGGGTCCATCCCTACCTGCAGATGGTATACAAGATCTTACTCAGAACGTATACTGCTAGTTTTATTGATTTTTAAAACTTGTGGCTGCAGTGTTTCTCCAATGCAGGCTGAGTTTGTTTCATATGATAGGCTGCTCTCTTGTTTTTCTTTATGCAGGTTTCTAATCTGCATATTTGCTGAAACATTGCCTTGATGCTTTTGCTTTGGTTTCTGATGCTATTAATTACAGCATTTATAGGGGTATGTCCATGTGCTTGGATGTAAATTACATTTTGGTTCCTTTAATAATACCTTCCATAAAAAAAGGTGAGTGATTCTTAGAAGCTAGTAATCATTTCCATTTTTCTTTAATAAAACACATAATAAAAGACTCAGTTAGATAAAACCTAGGAAGGATGGAAAGAATAGAGAAACTGATATTTTCAAACAAAATAAGCACTCAGGACAAATTATTTACACTGACTAAGCCTGAAATATTCAGAACCAAGGAGCTTGAGAACAAGTTTCTCCAACCTTCTTGACCCTGCAGAAGGTTTAGTTGCATCAGAACCGCCAGTTGGTATACAAGGATCTTTCCCGACACACCAACCACCCAGGGAAATTAGGCGGTTGTTAGATCCTCTCAAGAGTTCCTTATCGATCTTATCAAGAACGGAATCACCCACGGCAAAAGTACGAGCAAATGGAGCACCACTTTGGACCATGTCCTCAAAATGCTCCACTGTTAAATTCATGGGGTTCATCTTTGGGGGATTATCCCATTTTATGTAGTGCAAGTCATGGTTCACTGTTGTATTCTGATAGTCTTTGTGATTGCAGACAACAGTGTGGAAGTAGCCCTCAGGAGAGGAGAGGAAATTGGTATAGTACATTAGAAGGGTGCGCGGGAGATTGTCCCATCCCCAAATGCAGAATTCCAGAAATGACCTGGTGAGCATAACCCATTCAGATCCTGCAATGAGTTGGTCCTTATGTGGTTAGTAACATTATATAAATTGGTTGCTGGTTCAAAAATCATTCAGTCAAGACAAAATTGTTGGTCCACTTCCTAGCCGGAGATAATACACGTAGTATCAAGTAATGATGGCAGCGGGAAGGGTTCCCTTTCCATTCAGCATTTCCCATGCAAAAACTGTTTAAAAATATCTCACCGAAAATCAATCAGTCAAGACAAAAATTGTTGGTCCACTTCCTAGCCGGAGAGAGTCGACATAATATCAAGTAAGGAAAGCAGCGGGTAGGGTTTCCTTCCCATTCAGCATTTCCCATGCAAAACTTGTTTAAAATATCTCGCCCAAAATCAATCAGTCGAGACAAAATTGTTGATCCACTTCCTAGCAGGAGATAATATACGCAGTATCAAGTAAGGATGGCAGCAGGTAGGGTTCCCTTCCCATTCAGCATTTTCCATGCAAAACCTTTTTTAAATATCTCACATTCTCTCCCCTCGTACGTGAAATTAAAAGGGTTTGATGCATCAAACCCCCTCATGATATATAAATCCGGCGCATTAGCCCCTGTGATTTAAAAATGCATCAAACCCATGTGTTATAATTATTCATGCGCGAAAACCCCTCCTAGAACAAATTTAACATATTGGAAATCACTTGTCTTTTTTTAATATGATTGGAAATCAAGTGTCTTAATAATATGATTAAATATGAAGTAACTTTGCGTCAAGATCTCTAAATTGTACAAAAAATACTAATCATTTTTCTTTTATTTGACAATTAAATTTGTTCATAGAGGGGGGTTTTGTGTATGAATAACTGTAACATGGGGAGTTTGACGCATTTTTTAAATCACAGAGGGTTAATTGAATTTATATTTCACATGAGGGTTTGGTGCATTAAACCCGAAATTAAAACAGCCGGATCATTTGGTCTGGACTTTTAAATGCTACCGTCTAATGAGATAATTATTTTATTAGGGGTATCGAGGTGCTTTATTCAATCGTTGGGGTACCAAAACGCACCAATACAGTTGAAGTACTATTTATGCAATTTACCCATAAATTTGAAGAGCTTTAACAACTATCTTTGGGGAATGATAGATACGGCAGCTACATAAGCTTTTCTTGGAATGTATGTGGAATATGGGCCACCAAACTCCGATGATATATGCCATAATTTTAAATGGTGTCGTCAGTGTGACACCTAGATGCACTTAGAATATTGATTTTCTTTTTATAGGTTCGCCTACTGAAATGTATCAATAACAACACTTAAGGTACCATACAAGCTGTTTATCCAAATTTCATAAACCCAAAGAACTAGAAGACTCCAACAATAAATAAATGGGGAAGTTCAAGAAATAGGAGAATAAGTTTTAAAATTCCAAAAATAGGACTGCTATGTTTTTCTTTCCGAAATAGATGTAATATAGCAATATTTACTGCCATCTTGCAGACATTACTGCCAAATAGTTGCAGTAATAAGCATTAAATATGTCAGTATTTACTATCATTAATCGCAGTATTTTTCAATCATCGCAGTAACGACTCTTATTTCGAGAAGAAAAACATAGTAGCCCTATTTTGGAATTCCAAAACCTGTTTACTACTATTTACTCCTATTTAAAGCAATTTCCCTGAATAAATAGTTATGACAGACAAATATACAAAAGTTCCACTTATATGTCAGAAGCCTAAAAAATCGGGTTTACCACATATACTTCTAAGGAGGTACTGGCGTACTGCTTCACTGTGTTTATATTTAGGGTAATTGTTTTAATCTATAGGCAATTTTTGCATGCAGGTCGCCAAGTAACCACCACCATGCTAAAGTCCGTTAGGATTTTAAATAGTAAAATAGGTGCCATTAGGGTGAGGCCATCACACTCAACTCTGTTGTTATTCCTAATTTCAAGCTATATACTCCCTCCGGTTCTCAAAGAGCTTCACAGTTTGACTTCACACAGATTAAGAAAATAAATTTGACTTTACTGTGGAGTGCACTGTTTGGACATTGTTTGGCATTGTTTGGCACTGTTTGACACTGTTTTGCACTATTTTAGTGTAGATAATTTGCCAAAAAAGGAAATAAGAAGAAGTGTGAAGTTAATTTTGGGACATCCCGAAAAGGAAAGTGGGAAGTTGTTTGAGAACCGGAGGGAGTATTAAATATGGCGGAGTGGTCAAAAGCATTACCAAACATAAGTTTCAAGTGCAATCCATATTCGCATTGTACAATTCAGGACCAAAACAATTCGATAGACAATGTCAATCAATTCAGAACAAGGGAATCTACAACAATCAAAGTAGAACGGTGCACAGGATTGTTTATTGAATAAGGAAGAAATCAAAGAGGTATACAAGCTTATGGACCATTCGAGATGCCCAATCTCCAACTACTAGCCAACCGAATTCTCAGCTACCTTTCCCCTCTGTTCTCCCTTCTATTTATAGTCACCTGTCACTTAAGGCATACCCGCCTGACTTATCCTTTATAAGAATCACAACTGATTACTTATTCCTCCTTTTGTACACCTTGTCAAAATATTTAATAGGCTGGGACACCTGCCTATCATTACTCCCCCCTGAAATTTCACCTTGTCCTCAAGGTGAAGACCTGGAAATTGATCTGCTAGAGCTTGTAATGGTTCCCAAGAGTCTTCAAACTGTGGTAGGCCCTTCCAGTGAACTAGGACCTCTATCTTGCCTTCTTTGTTCATCCTTGAGTCCAAAACCTCTTCTGGACTGACTTGTAGTTCCCATTCTTCATTGAGGCAGTTAGGTGAAGGCTGAAAAACAGTTGTAGGAGATAGGGCCTTCTTTAGTAGGGAAATGTGAAACACTGGATGCACTTTACTATCTTCTGGGAGTTTAAGCTTGAAGGCTACAGAACTGAGTTTCTCCATTATCTCAAATGGACCATAGTACCTAGGACTGAGTTTCTGGTTAATTCTTTTGGCTAAACTCCGAAGTTTATATGGTTGAATCTTCAAATAAACCTGGTCCCCAACATTTAGAACCACCTCCCTTCTATGTTTGTTAGCTTGTTGTCTCATCTGATTTTGGGCTTTTTCCAGATTTTCCTTCAACTCTTTAAGTATCATATTTCTTTGAGCCGTTAGCTTAGAGACTTCCTCCACTGCAGCCAAAGTGACATCCCCTCTTACCACAGTAGGAGGTTCTTGCCCATATAGAGCTTTGTAAGGTGTCATTTTCAATGAAGTGTGGTAATTTGTGTTGTACCAGAATTCAGCCCATGCCAACCATTTAACCCACTGCTTAGGCTTACTCCCTGTAAGGCACCTCAAATAAGTCTCCAAGCATCTGTTGACCACTTCAGTTTGGCCATCAGTCTGGGGTGATATGCAGTGCTGTATTTGAGTTGGGTTCCAGCCAGTTTGAAGATTTCAGACCAAAAAGTACTCAGAAAAATTCGATCTCTGTCACTAACCATGGTTTTTGGAAAACCATGCAATTTGACAATCTCCTTTGTAAATAAATCAGCTACTTCCTTGGCAGTAAAAGGGTGGGATAGAGCCAAAAAATGAGCTGATTTTGTCAGTCTATCCACTACCACCATTATAGTGTCCTTCCCCTGTGATGTAGGCAGACCTCCTATAAAGTCCATACTGATATCAGTCCAAATATTCTGAGGGATAGGTAATGGCTGAATCAGTCCGGCTGGTTTTAAGGCTTGATATTTGTTTGTCTGACATGTAGGACATTCCTCCACAAACTTCTTTATGTCCTTCCTCATTCCATGCCAATAAAACAAATTAGAAACCCTCTTCATGGTCCTGAAATATCCAGAATGCCCTCCTACTGCCGAACTGTGATATTCATTCAATATTTTAGTCACTCTAGGGGATGCACTAGGTAACACTAGTTTCCCTTTGTAGTAGAGTAACCCTTTCTTATTCTGGATAGGGGTGGGCATAACGGTTCGGTTTGACCGAACCGAACCGTACCAAACCGAATTAAACCGAACCGAAACCGAACCATTTGTAGTTTGGTTTGAGTTTGGTAGTATTCCTCCCAAACCGTATTAAACCGAACCAAACCGAACCGAAATCATAAAACCGAATAAAACCGAATAAAACCGAACTAATCTAAAAATGAAATAATTTCTTATTTTTTTAAAATAACAAATCAAAATCAACTTACACCAAACTAAACCAAACCAAAATATAGGATTTCTCACATTAATTTGATTGATGTTAATCTTTTTGAGGCTTTAATTCTTCAATTTTAATGTCCAGATCTAGAGTTTACTACAAGAGTTACATTCACAACTATAACAATTATAGTGATTTAAGTAGATAGTATTTAACTATAATTTATTACCCGTTACTACTATATATCTGGTTCATTACGTACAAGCACCAGTTTTATTTTTGTTTTGGCTTTATATATAATTTGATTCATTCATGTTACGTTGTTGTTGTTGCTTACAAATGTGTCATGCTTATATATTTTTAGTTCATATGTGTTTTGTTACTATTTGCAAATTTATATCTAGCATTATATTTGGTTCATTACTATCGCTTCTTGGTTCATTATTTTGAGTTAATTTTTTTTCAATCCAAACCTTAATACTTTGGTAAACCGAACTCCAAACCGAACCGAACCGTACCAAACCGAAACCAAACCGAAACTTAATCGGTTTGTATTTGGTACATTTTCTATCAAACCGATTAAACCGAAACCGAACCGAAACCGAAGAAAACCGAACCGAAAACCGAAATGCCCACCCCTAATTCTGGAAATCTGGGTATTGGTCTGGCTTTGAAATCAGATTCTGAAACAATGTCAAACATTTAGGATCCTCCAGCAACTCCTCTTCTAACCCCTCCCATTCTTGACAAGTAACAATGGATAGGGAATGTAAGAATGGTCTTCTGGATAATGCATCTGCAACTCTATTTTCAACTCCTGGTTTGTACTTGATAATGAAATTAAACCCCAGTAGCTTGGAAGTCCATTTTTGTTGCTCTTCCCCCATTAGTCGTTGCTCAGTCAAAAATCTCAAACTTTTCTGATCTGTGTGGATTTCAAACATTCTTCCCAAAAGGTATGACCTCCATTTCTGGACAGCTAATACTATAGCCATCAACTCCCTCTCATACATTGATCTATGTTGATTTCTCTGGGATAACTCCTTGCTCATATAGGCAATGGGCCTTCCTTCCTGCATCAGTACAGCTCTCAAACCTGTCCCAGATGCATCAGTCTTCACTATAAACATTTTAACAAAATCTGGTGTTGCCAGTACTGGCAGGGTAGTCATGGTCCTCTTTAACTCCTCAAAAGCCTTGGTAACCTCTGGTCCCCACTGAAAATTATCTTTCTTCAATAATTGTGTTAGAGGTAGAGCAATCTTGCTATATCCCTGCACAAACCTTCTGTAATAACCTGTCAGTCCCAGAAATCCCCTCAACCCCTTCAAGTCCTTGGGTTCTGGCCACATGGTCATTGCCTCAATCTTTGTGGGGTCTGCAGCTACCTCCCCACCAGATATAATATGACCCAAGTAAATTAATTTAGACTGTCCAAACGAACATTTATTTGCATTAATCACCAGCTGATTATCTTGTAAAGCCCCCAGAACCTTTCTTAAATGGTCTTGATGTCCCTCCACTGATCTGCTGTAAACCAAGATATCATCAAAGAAAACCAATGCAAACTTCCTCAGAAAAGGCCTCAGAACTTGATTCATAAGGGCTTGAAAAGTTGATGGCGCATTTGTCAAACCAAAGGGCATTACCAAATACTCATAATGCCCCTCATGAGTCCTGAATGCAATTTTCTGTCTATCCTCCTCCTTCATTCTTATCTGGTGGTATCCAGATTTCAGATCCAGCTTAGAAAAAATGGTTGCCCCACCCAATTCATCCAAAAGTTCTTCAATGATGGGTATAGGATACTTATCAGGTATAGTAATTCTGTTGAGAGCCTTGTAGTCACCACAGAATCTCCACCCTCCATCTTTCTTCTTTGCCAGTAGAATAGGACTACTATAAGGGCTATTGTTGTGTTGAATTATACACTCATTCAACATTTCTTTTATAATCCTTTCAATTTCCGTCTTCTGGTACTGTGGGTACCTATAAGGTCTGATATTAGGAATGCAAGCTCCCTTCTGAATGTGAATAGCATGATCACAACTTCTGGGAATTCAGCCAATATTTGCTTCCAAGTGTCATCTTCTGCCCCCCTTCTACTGAAACTACAGATTTTCCTTCACAAAACACCAAGTATCCATCTCCTGCATCTTGTAATATTTGAGTCATGGTTATCAGTGAGACTTCCAAAGAATTTAGCTGTGGATCCCCTTGTATCATCTGCTCCTGTCCTTGTTCCTTCCATTTTATAGTCTGCTTTTGGAAGTTGACTTCTACATCCCTCAAACTTGCCAACCACTCCATCCCCAGCACAACATCTGTTCCCCCAGTTCCAAGATATAAAAATCTTGTTGTACCACTGCTTTCTGTAAACACAAAGCTAACCCTTCACATCTGCCATTGTTAGCTATTCTATCTCCATTCCCAATCTGCACTTTATATCCTGTAATGATTTGATAGGGTATTTTCAATTGATTTACCAACCCTTGTGATATGAAGTTGTGAGTAGCTCCACTATCAATCAAGACATCCACTTCCTGTTCTCCTAGCTTCCATTTTAGGTAACCTTTCACTTTAAAAGCTCTCATGGAAGGAATGCCTTCCTTGCTCATCAATGACAGTTGCATGGATTTGGATTCCATTACAACCTCCTCCTCATCTGAACTGATTCCATTTTCTTCCTCACATTCTGCTTCCTCCTAAGAATCTTCCACCAAAATCAGTTTGTAATTTTTCAATTTGCAGGTGTGTTCCTTACTCCATTTGTCCCCACACTTGAAACATAGGCCTTTTCTACTCCTTTCCTGATACTCCTCCTGGGACAACTGAGGGCCCACCTTTTTTATTCCTGAAGGATAAATCTCTGTCACTCTGGCCCCCTTAGGATTGAACCAGGGCTGAGAATTCCTACTTCCTGATCCATTCTTCTCACTATTGTAAGTGCCAGCACTGCCAGATTTGGACTTGTACCCTTCTCCCCAGTTCTGAACCTTCAATGGTATGGGTCCCCTCTCCTTCCCCATTAATTTGTCATCCTCCTTTCTTTTAGAATAGATTGCCTCATTCTTCTGTTCAATCATTATAGCTCTATCCATGGTTTCAGTTAAGGATTTGGAAGCATACAGTTTCAATTCAGATTTCACTTCCTTCTTCAAACCTGTGATGAAAATCCCCTTCAGCAAATCTGTATCCATGTTCTGTTGTGGTGCCATCACCATTTCAAATTCCTCCCTATACTCCAGCACGGTTCCCGTTTGTTTCAGACTCAGAATAGGTCCGTAAGGGTTCTGAATTAACTCTGGTTGAAATCTACGAATAATAGATTTCTTCAACACCTCCCAACTCGTTTCTTCAGTCTGATTCTCCCACAAGTGAAACCAATTCAAGGCTCTATCCTCCATAGCGACCATAGATGCCTCAACCTTCTCATCATCGTCAATATTGTTCAATCGAAAATACCTTTCCATTCTAATAATCCAATTATAGGCTCCTTCCCCGTTAAACAATGGTAAATCTATCCTTCTTCCGTTACGTACAGGTATTCTCGCGTACACATCACTACGACGATGATCGTTGATATTAGAGTGAACCTAGCTACCTCTTGAATGTATGGGACTGAGCGGCGATCGCGATCTCCCCCTGGCTCCCACTGTGGTCGCCAGTTTTTCATTCATCGCGGCCATAGATGCGTTGATACTTTCCATCGCCGATCGCAACTCCATCTGTAACTTCGTACGTACTTCCAGAAGGTTGCGCTCCATTGAATCTACTCGATGCTCCATTTTAGCTCTTGTTCTGACCATCCACACCAGGAACGACTATTTCCTGATGTCGCAACACCAATTCCGATCAACGTTGAGGTCACCAGGAACGTATTTGCTCTGATACCAATGATAGACAATGGCAATCAATTCAGAACAAGGGAATCTACAACAATCAAAGTAGAACAGTGCACAGGATTGTTTATTGAATAAGGAAGAAATCAAAGAGGTATACAAGCTTATGGACCATTCGAGATGCCCAATCTCCAACTACTAGCCAACCGAATTCTCAACTACCTTTCCCCTCTATTCTTCCTTCTATTTATAGTCACCTGTCACTTAAGGCATACCCGCCTGACTTACCCCTTATAAGAATCACAACTGATTACTTATTCCTCCTTTTGTACACCTTGTCAAAATATTTAATAGGCTGGGACACCTGCCTATCAACAAGAACCTCATTTGGAACTGTATCTAGGTTTAAGCAAATAGGAAGACAGTACCCATGAACAGCTTGAAAGCAGCAGGCATTGACCTTTTCTCCTTTGCCCAAAATACACCAGACTTCTTCGCATGATATATGCCAGGATCAAGGATTATAGGCCTAGCCCTCTGAAACCTGTTTGCATAACAAGCATCTTAGAAATTTAGAATCACAGAATATTAACCATCATAATGAGAGACTCGTCTCACAGTGTTGGGGAATATGGATGCATCAATGCATGGAAAAGAATGCTCACTCTTTCCAGCCAAGATTTGATGAATGCTCAAGAAAATTCAGATCCCTAGGCAAATATGAGAAAATGTGCAGGATATCTGGAACAAAGATGGCAAGCTTTTCTTCATGAATAAGATTACAATCTTAATTCACACATACAAAGCTGGTAATCAGTTTTATCAAAACCATAACAGGTATGCGGAATACGAGAATCAAAATAAGGTTAACTCACATGATTGGATCAAATATACTCATATCAATCACTACATAACAAATCCACTTGAGCTAACTAGTAATGAGCAATGTAACAGAATATTCAAGAACTATTTTTCTTTCAAGGAAATATTCAAGCATTATAAGGGTAACACAATCTCCATTCAGTAAGCAGGTCTACTAAAGTTGAATCAGAAATGCAATTTTAATCTCTGACCGTGTTTGGAATGTTTATTTAATCCAAAACTTTCTATTAATGGGATTGAGACTCTTACCATAACAGGGATTCGAGTGCAGGGGGGCTTATAAAAAACAACTAACCGTCTTGAGGCATGAGAGGGTAATCCGAAGCACTAAGATTGATAAACCAATCCCAATTATTGGCCTTCTTCAAGAGAATAGCGACAGCATGGAGTGTGGAAGCCATCATACTAGGCCCTCTGTAAGTGACTAAATCCGCCTTCCCAACAACCATCACATTCCTAAATTCCCTCGCCACAACATCGGATTTCACGAACCTAGCCAGCTCCATCCTCTCACCATCCGAAGCCTCCAAATCAAGATGCAACAAATAGTAGTTCCTTGGATGGTACAAGGCGCCAAGTAGCCGCTTCAGCCGCCCAACGTCGCCTTTCGAACCCGAAATCAAGTAAGCTAGCCGGGGCAGCTCCGGAAAGGATACAGATTTTGGTAATCCATCGGAACTTAATACTCTTGGTTGTGAATGTTGGATGGGGGGAGGTTTGTGCCATTTGAGATGATTAAAAATCAGAGTGGAAATCAGTATGATGATGAAAAGAGAAAGAGAAAGTATGGGTACTGACCATCTCCGGCTGTCGGTGAATCTAGCTAATTTAGCCTTTCTCATCACAGATTTGGACGATTCCAGAGTTTTTGTAGCTGGGGGTGTAGAGAGCCGAGATTGCATCGAAGTAGAAGGAACCCCGTGGGAATAAGGTATGAAGCTCAAGTAAAATCAATTTGATTTTGAAATATACTAATTTTTTTATTTGTGAAAAAAATTATACTCCCTCCGTTCCGGAAAATTAGTCACACTATGACTTGTATCGGAGTTTAAGAAAGTGGGAATAAAGTGGAAATATATGGTTGTGGTTGAGTAAGAAAAAGGTAAATGAATGTTAGCCACACAAAACTTTCCAAAAAGGGAAATAGGAACAATTTTTTGGGACGGCCCAAAAAGGAAAATGGGACTTATTTTATGGGACGGAGGGAGTACTTACAATATATTTTTATTAATAAAATAAAGACAAAATTGTATGACAAGTTAGTAAAGGCCTAAAATAATCATCTACAATAAATTCAGTCAATATAGCAAGAATAATTCCAACTTTATTTTTCGTTATTATTACACAATTGATCGCGTGAAATCAAAAGTTACATGTTTGATTAATAAGTTGGTTGGTTGATAAACCTGATAAGTCGAAAAAAAGAGTCATCAAAAAGACTCTAGTGCTTAGAGGTTGACCTACTAAATTATTTCCTACATATGAAAATTTCCAGAATATAACAAGTGTTTAGGTTATAAATTGGCAGTACAATTAGTGAGAAGAAAATTAGAACCCATTTGGTGACTTTATTTTTCGGATTGTCGGGCTTATTAGTCAACTTTTACATCAAAGACCTAATTTTAATTGAGAAATTTTACGAAATAGGAGTAAAAATGTTTGAAAAATCCAAACAGGTCTCGTGTTTTTATTCCCTAAATAGAAGTAGTTACTACCAAGCTTAGGAGTAACCTAAGCTATACGTAATTGTACAAATATGAGCAAACACAAATGAAATTTTGAGCATGATAGAGAATTTAAATGAGCTTTTTTATTTTCTCAACACTCATTTCGTAATTCATGTATGTTCATTTGATAATGGTGTAATACTCATTTTAAAATATCAAATTCTTGCATATTTTAAAAGTATAATATTACATTATATTCACATATTAGATTCATGCAGATTCATTGTATATAAATATTTTAAAAAATAACAAATAGAAAGTGAATTAATAAGATATGCAGTTGATATCACGATGCTCATTATTAGTCTCTCAATACTCAGCAAAATAGATCTGATGCTCAATAAACATACATTAATGCTCATTTAGTAGAAATCTCGAATTTAAGATAAATTACCAAAATCGGTTATACGGTATACGGACTCAGAAAAGGCTCATATTCTCATACATCAAATATTTCCACCACAAGAATCATGTTTATGGCATCTTATTCCTCCGGCTCAAATTCTCAGTGAGTTGACAATGGTCACAAGTTAGAACATACTACCTCCGTCCCAAATTTTTTTGCAAAGTTAATAATTTTTTGTCAACCAATGTTAAAGTCAAATCTTCCATATTGATAATCACTTCAATTTTACTAACTAAAGTTTACATATTTAGAAAGTAAATTAAAATCTCTATACAATTGAAAAATCCAAATTAAAATTTAATCAAGAAATGATGTTATGATTAAGTAAATAAAATGAGTCTGTTTGATCTAAAAAGTCAAACTTGTAACTCATTTTGGGACACATGTAGTAGCTTTTTTGTATATTTGAATAATGTGCACTAAAAAAGTTAACATTGAAATGTTTTGGTAGTTGTCCCGTTCGGGCCATGATGACATCCTTTAAGGAGATCATGGCAATGCTCAATGATAGATAACATCTCTTCATCCGGGACTCGAACACATCATCATATGATTCCAACCATCAGCACACTTTTTGAAAAGGTGTGGATCATCTCAATAGTAGTTTTTGACAACATTTAAGAATTTCTTCCTTTGATGAAAAGTGAGCTATTGGGGAAGAACTTCTTTGACAAGATAGTTCAAAAAATTGTGAACCAAGGTAAGGAAGCTTCACTCATCCCCATGAGTTGCTCATAAAGGAAACCATCATGAATTACCTTCATTTTGGTAGTGCATTTGAGTCAAGGCAAGAGAGGTAGTCTACAACAAGATTCTCATTTCCTTAGCTTGTCTCAGATTTCGAGGTCAAATTTTGGAGCAATAGTACCCACCGATGTCGGAATGATCGGTGTAAACCATCACATTTTTTCCAATGAGATATGACTCAAGTTTATCAATGGTATGGATGACGGCTAGAAAATCCTTCTCCATTGTTGCATAATTGAGTATTGTATCATGGAATAACCTCAATGCATGCATATGGTATATCGCATGAGGTTTCTTTTATTATTATTTTGCCCACGCTAAACCCCTATAGCGTGATTGCTAGCATGCATCACATATTAATTCGAATGGGAGGGACCAATATGATGATGTCATGATAGAGGATGTAGTAAGAGCTTCCATTTTAGTGTAGAATGCTTTAAGACAGGATAGAGTGAACTCAAAATTGTATCTTTGGCAAGTAAATCGCAAAGAGATTTGGTGATTTTGAAGTCTGATGAATCATCGATAGAAACCGGCATGCCCTAGGAAACTCCGTATAGATTTGACTGAATGTGAGGGTGGCAACCTCTCAATAATCTCCACTTTTGCTGGATCAACTTAAATGCCTTGAGAAGAGATTTTGTGCCCCAAGATAATGTCTTCTGTCACCATAAAAGTGACATTTCTTCCCGTTTAAAGCAAGATGAGTGTCCTCACATCGGATGAGCACATTTTCAAGATTGTTGACACGACATATATCAAATGAACTTCCAAAGCTTAAAAAGACATGCATAAATACCTCATGAAATATCCCACCATATCTGCGAAGATGGCCATGATGCACCTTTGAAAGTGCTTGGTGCATTGCAAAGTCCAAATGGTATCCGTAATCAAATGTGCTAAATGGGTATGTGAATGTAGTCTTTTCTTGATCTTCCGGTGATGTGGCTGTTTGGAAATAACCATGTAGGAAGAAATATAACTCATGATCAATCACACGCTCTAACATTTCATCCGTGAATGGAAGAGGAAATGGTATTTATTTGTGCTTGATAGACTATTGTCTTATAGAGAATGTAGAGTTAGAGAGAGAAGTGATTTATATAAATGAATATTCAACCCTTTACATGGCTCCCAGAGGGAGTATTTACAGGAGAAAAGTGGGTTGAGCTTCCATGCTCGATTACAAGGCCAATAAATGGTATCTAATATATTCCAAGGGGCATATATATGAATAAATAGAGTGTACAATAATATAAATGCTATATACTAAATGTATGTGGGTTGTTGTTTGGGTCCAATAATCATGAGATCGGAGGTCAGGGTCCATATACTCTATCAAGAGTCCCTCACTCCCTGAGTCGAGGCAAGTGGAAATCCTTGTAAAAGATTTGAATTATGTGCTTCTTCGATTAATGGAGGCGCTAAGTGCCCCGTTCTTCCAGTCCCCCATTCCTTGAGGCGATATAATGAGATGGAGAGGAGTAGAGTAGTGCATGCCTCATGATGACTCCTGTAGGGGTCGAGGGTTGACACCTTTTGTCCATAGTGGGAAGATGTCTCGTTAAAAACCTCATTAAGAAAAAAACCCATGTGGGGAAAAATCTCAATGAGGGAAAATGAGTACACTAGATGCCCCCAAAATGAAGTAAAAAGGGTGAGCCATTTAGTTTGGCCGAGGCGTGAAGCTGCAACCACCGCCATTTGCCGAGGGAATGGACGAAACTGGTCTTCGTGTGTGAGTAATGTGACATGATATATATAAGTAGTGTCACGCCCCGGACCTAGCCGGACACGTCAACAACCCGCCGTACAGTACGAATGGTCAACCGTAGTCCAACTCATCCATACTATACAAGGCGTCATGAATATCATTCACACATAGTACATCCATAAACAAACATAATGTAAAACATGCACTTAAAGTAGCGGAAGCGTTAATACAATTGTTCAAGCCACACTTGGCATAACTAGGCATACAAGCCCCCAAAGTAATTATTAATAAAATAGTATCCATGAGCATTGTTATAATTGTTTTGAAAACAGGAAACAGAAGAAGCACGAACCACGTCTTCTCCCCTGAAAATCCCCGAAGCAACGGGCGCCGGTAGCAACCTTCAAGTTCTACCTGAAACTGTGAGGTGGCCTCCCCCGTGAAGGGGAGGTCAGTACTTGGAAATATTTGACAAGTACAATAGCAACTATACTAAGTATAATCAACGTTTTAATTTCCAAGACCCTCAAAATAGGGTGATATCATAATATAAATAATAATTTATATTTCCCACTTATTATCTTTATAATAAGTAAATTTATTTATTTGTCGGCACACGGCCCTTCTTATATATCCTTTTTCATTTATCATTTTGCACAACCCAACCCTTGGGTCCTATTATTTCTACGGGACTTGCTACCGCTGTCCGAGACCTCATGAGGCTCCGGTTCGGACTCCAACATCCCGCCCCTGGACTCGTACCCATCATCCCGTAGGAAGGTAAGGGTCCTATCTTATGTGTTACCGCTACCGGAACCTAGTTAGGTCTCCGATTCGGATTCCACCCTAACCCGTGATCACGATGTAAGTCCATGCTATCCAACCCCGCTCTCTAGAGTCGGGAAGGGCCATGGTCCTTA